ATCTTCTTATTTGCATGTCTATGCAATTAAAACAGTAATGGTTTAAAACATCGTAGGTCTCTGCACATTCAAACTAGCGCTATTAGGTTACTTCAAATGTGAATATGGTTGGGAATCGAAAATTGATTCCAGCTCAGGAATCAGAAACTTGTTATAAAATTAAAATTTCGATTACATTTATCGATTCCTATGTGCACATTTTAATGTGGTTTTTTAAACCATTCAAGCCAAATAAGATGCGAAAGAAAACTCAATTCTGTACACGAATACTGAATTGAGTTCTCTTTCACGTTTTCTTGAGCTTGAAAAGAGAAATACACACAACATTAAGTCCAAATATCCTCGTAAACACAGTCGGTTGAGTGTTGAGTTAATGTAGACAGTTGAGAAAGAAAGCTCAGGTGTAACAGTATACTGGATCAGTGCATCAGGTCTTAAAGTGACAGCAGCCTAATAAACCTGTGTCATTACTGTTAGTCAAAGAACATAGGAAAAAGAAAATCACTCACTGATCTTGACTGAATAACTTTTGTAACTTTAATACGGATTAATATCGAAAGAAAACTATGCAGTGTTATTTTACAATAGAGATCAATTTCTGAACTTTGTTCAGTTTATTTATTTGTGCTATTGCTAATTTGCTTATTTGTTCTGATTGTATTACTGACTGTTTACTTGTCTTTAATAATGTTTGAAATTTATATTAGTTATTCTATTTTATTAGTTTGTTTTCGGGCTGCTGATTATTTTTGTTCATGGTATTCAGAATAAATATTTTTGACATCGAAATGTTTGACTTTTTTTAACCATATTGCAATCAAAACTGGGAATCGATAATAATTGGAATCAATAAGCAGAATTGGAATCACTAAAATGTAAACGATACTCAATCCTACATGCGGGAGATTAAAAATGCCATGGAATTGTGTTGCATGGAAAACAACTTAGGAACGTGTAAATAATTACATTTTTTAACAACTATTACTTTAACATGGGAAAAGATAATTTTTTGTAAATATACTTAGCAAAGATTAAACACTAAAATACTCCACAGATGTCATGATAGATAAAGCTGAAACCTACGGCAAAATAAAGGTCAACACAACTAAGAAAACACAAAGCAAACTCCATGACCCTCGCAGAACGTCCAGTTATGTAAGTTTATGGGGGGTTGGTGCTTCAAGCAGTGTGTCTGCTTTAGATATTTAAACACTGGCCCCGCAGCAATAACAGGACAGTCTGGTTTGTGTCCAGGGGTCTGTTGTATTAGCCAAGCAATGCAAGTTACAATTTAACCAATGTGTAACAGAAATTACAAAAGTTGGAATTACCGCAATTACGAGTTTCCGATTTGCTGAACTATCGAACTTGTCGAACTAGTACTGGTTAACAGAGAGCTTAGGACTTTCTAGAACTTTCTACAAATGGAGAAACCAAATATGACAACCTGATGATCCACCAATAGAAAACCACAACCATCCAATCAATTCCCCACAGACAAAATCAAGCTCCGCCCACATTTGTTCTTGTTTGAGAAGCCGTTTCACTCGGATATACATGAAAATAGAATAGAAAAAAAGAGAGAATAGAAAAAAAAAAGAAATATGACAACCTGTCACTGACTTGAGATTCACCAATAGCAAACCACAACCATCCAATCAATTCCCCACAGACAAAATCAAGCTCCGCCCACATTTGTTCTTGTTTGAGAAGCCGTTTCACTCGGATATACATGAAAATAGAAAAGAAAAAAAAAGAAAATAGAAAAAAAAAAGAAATATGACAACCTGTCACTAACTTGAGATCCACCAATAGCAAACCACAACCATCGAATCAATTCCCCGCAGACAAAATCAAGCTCCGCCCACATTTGTTCTTGTTTGAAAAGCCGTTTCACTCGGATATACATGAAAATAAAATAAAAAATACTATCGCAATCGTTTTATGCTGACTTTAATAAAACATAAAAGAATAGTCCAAATGACAAAAGTAAAGTCACATGATGAGATGTGACAGACACAAGTCATTATCTGGTGAAAAAAATAGTTTTTCTTGTTAAGATTTAAAAAATGTAAAATTCGTCTATCATATGACTTTGAGACGAATATAGTGCATGAGTTATTCTGTATAGACAAACTACTGTTGTGAAGTCCTAATTAAATAGCAACCTGAAGAACTGGTAGTGCAAACCTCCCAGCAAATTATGTAACATCAGTTATTATAAAAAGAGATGGAAAAACCCAGATGGCATTTATGTAGCTGGTAAATCTGAGACAGGTACTGCAAGACTAGGTCAAATTACAGAGAGTCATGGCACTGCATGCTGCAACACACAGTCTGTATGCGAGAACCCGTGTCCAGCAACATGCCCGTATCTGCTGACAGGACTAGTTTCACTGTCAAAACAGCTGAAATATTTGAGTTTATTGGGACTCCACAGCAGTTTTATCCCTGAACGCAATGCTTGTGCTTGTCACAGTAGAGCAGGAACCAATAAAACAGGTGGACAAATGGATGAAGATGCTCAGATTGTGGCCAATAATAGCTATTACTAGAGTAAACATCACTATTACACTTACTCATACTTTGGATTTGGATAAGAAAAATCCCACTTACACCGAACAAAGGATCCGAGACACATATCATAGCGACTATTTCTAAACTCTAATGAATCAGTCCAGCCGGTTTCACAAAGATAGACTTTGACTATGGCTTAGATATAGTAGATAGTCAGACTTCAGATAGACATCTAAATCAGACCGTTGCACAAAGCACTTAAGACTCTGACTGTCTTAAGTAGGACTACACTGCAATGCATTCTGGGTAAAATAAGACACTTTTCAAAACAAAAAACATGGCGGATCGAGTAACCGTATTCAACCACTCAGTGCATTTCTGTTTATCCCAGCGGGAGATATGTGTGTGTTGGAGGAGTATAAAAGTTACAAGGACAAGATTTTACTTGGGAAATTTAGCGGAGAATGTAGTAACAAGAAGAAATGTTTAATTTGGAAAAAGATTGCTACAACAGTTAATCCGACCGTTGAGCGGAGCATTACAGACGTACAGAAAAGATACAAAAACATGGTACAAGATGGCAAAAAATAATATTTAAGAGGAAATATCCAAAAACGGGAGGAGGACCCCAAGAGAAACTTAAAGACACCGCTGAAATGGTGATGGATATATGGTAACTAAGGGCCATTTTCTTTCTTTTGGCTGTTTGTAGTGATTGTTACTGCTGGTTGCCAAGGTAACAGAGTCTTAAGTTAGCCTGGGGGAAAGATGTCTAATGTTTTTGGTCTAAATTAAGTCAGTCTTTATTTTTGTGAAACAGTCTAACTTGCATTAGACTAGTTTATGATCAAATTTTAGACTTGTTTAACACTGTAGACCGGTCTAAAATAGCTTTGTGAAACCGGCCCCAGAGGTATTCTAAGATGGCCATTTACCACATAATAAACTCTTTATTGCAGCTCTGCAAACACATTAAAAGCATAAGCAATCTGTCTGATAACACTGCGACCATCTTTATCGTGTTGAATATTTAAAGAAGGCACCCTTAACATCGCAGATGTGCTGTGGGAGAGCAGTTTACAGTAAATTACAGCAGAAAAACAGCGCAGTAAACGCAGATTAGAGGATGCCTGCGGGACGCTGAGGAGGTCTTGTAAATGCTCAGCTAGCTGATGATACGACACAAAGAGGTCACCATAGGATTAAAGGACGGTATTAACCACTAAATTATCATGCAGTGTGTCTGACATGATGTAACTGGACCTTAACAAAAAGTACTGTGGTGATACCATAGACAAACAGTCTTTCATTTCTGTGTTACAATCATTTCAATTATCACAGAAGCACTGGAATAAAAGTTCGGATATGAACACCTTTTGAAAGTAACTTGACGCTTCAAATTGAGTAGGTGGCGACAAGTGACTGTTAAAAATGTTGAATTGTCCGATTGTCATTGAATCATTCATTTAAAAGACTCATTCAAAAACACTGATTCGTCCAGTAATGATCGCTAATCTTTATGAGTGAGTCATTGAATCATTCACTCAACCCGATTTAAATAATAATAATAATGACCTCAGATTAATTAAATATATTTTTTAACAAACTGCAGAATTTAACATTTTGTCAGAACCTCTAGTAAATGACGTTATTTTGTTTAGTTGTCTGTTCAGAATCGTGCAGCTCAACGCCAAGGTAGTTAAAACACATGAGCTACAAAACAATATAACAAGTTAACTGCACTTAAAATAGCCAACATAGTTTTTATGCAAATGTATAATTTTTTTTTTTTTTTAGATTAACCTAGAAATTTAAACAAAGCCTGATTTACATACTTTTCTTGTTTTCACTAATATTAATGATAAGAATAATTACTAATATTAATAATGTCATATAAAAATGTTTATAGTGGGTTTAAGTTTACAGTTAGGGTTTACTATGGAATTAACCAATTAAAAATCCACAATTCCAGACACAGATTAACACTCAAACAGTGTCATAAGAAAGTAGCAGTAACTGCACCTGTGATTATATATATATATATATATATATATATATATATTACATATTATATTATGTAACTTTCACAACAAGAGCAAAAATCTCTGCTCTTCTCAAATCTAAAATGCATGATGTCAACAAAACGATCTGATATGCTCAGATAAGCGTTGGAAAAGCATTGCTGTATGATTTATGAACAGACAAATATACTGTCAATATCTAATAAAACTAATATACAGTAACATAGCAAGAGTAACTACAATAGAACAAAACAGAACATGACTGAACATAATCGAATAAAGCAAAGCAGAATAGAACAGAACAGAATACAATAGAACAGAACAGAACAGAATAGAATAGAATAGAATAGAAAAGAATAGAATAGAATAGAATAGAATAGAATAGAATAGAATAGAATAGAATAGAATAGAATAGAATAGAAGTGCTCTCTTTTCACTTCACACAACAACACTGACTCTGACCTTTAGCTGCCGCAGTCAGTGCTCGTCGAACATCGCGTCTCGAGGCGTCAATGAGCCTGTAATGGTGCTGTCAGGGCGATCACTGCAGCATAATATCATTTATAATAATTCATATAAACACATAACCTCCGCCGAGTCCTGTCGCGCGCCTCCGCCGCTGTCAAACTACAGCTGCAGGTCTCGCGCGCCTCCCGGAAACGGCGTCATGACGCACAGATGATCATGCAGACGTACAGACACACCCCCCGACACACCTCAGCGCTCGGCCAATCAGAGCCCAGGACGGCCCCTAACTGGAGCACTGATGGAGGAGCGTGGTGTGGATGATGGCCACTGGCCAGTACACGATGCGATTGTCTGAATGGTTGGACTGGGTTCAGGGGACATTGCTGCATGTCTGTCGACTACATACAGTAACATTCAGTGCAGATACTCTATCATCTCGACATCATGCTGTAAACTTAAACAATGACAGAATCAATGCAATGTATGTAGGCTATCAAAAGTTTGAAAACATTACTATTTTTAATTAATTTTTGTAAGAAGACTCTGATGCTCATCAAGGCTGCATTTATTTGATAAAAAAAATACAGAAAAAACTGTAATATTGTGAAATATTATTACAATTCAAAATAACGTTTTTATATTTTAATATACTTTCAAGTATAATTTATTCCTGATCAAAGCTGGATTTTTAGCATCATTACTCCAGTCTTCACATGATCCTTCAGATCAGAACTCATTCTAATATACTGATTTATTATCAATGTTGAAAACAGTAATATACTTTTTTAGAACCTGCTGTGATAGGCTACTTTTTTCAGGATTGTTTGATGAATAAAAAGTTATGTAAAAAAAAAAAGAACAGCGTTTATTAAAATATAAATCTTTTGTAACAATATACACTACCATTCCAAAGTTTGTGGTCAGTCATTTCTTTTCTTTAAAAAAAAGAAAAGAATTTTATTCAGCAAGGATGTGTTAAATTGAAAAAAAGTGATAATAAAGATTCATATTTTGAATAAATGCTGTTCTTCTTCACTTTATTTAATCAAAGAATCCTGAAAAAAAAGTATCACAAAAAAATATTAAGCTGTTTCCAATGTTGATAATAAATCAGCATATTAAAATGATTTCTGAAGGATCATGTGACACATTTTAAAGTATATTACAACAGAAAACACACGCACACACACATTTTTTATTCTATATCATTATTACATTCTTTTTCAATTCAAAATGAAAAACATCTTGGGATGAGGCAAGCCGGCAGGTTGGCAGAGAGCAGCGTTTAATCCGACTTAAAAACTCTTTCCATTGCAAAAGCACTTTGAGGAGAGACACAGGGCTTATGTTGTGAAATCTTCCAGACAGAAGTGTTGGGGTTGCAGTGATATTGCCCAGGGGGGCGAGTGGCCCAGATTGCAAAAGAAGAGTGAAGGTGAGATCCTCTCCTCATGGACATCCAGAAAACCCTGCCAGCCCGGGGACTTGTTGCATTTAATATCGTTGGACTCTTTTCTATAATGACAAATAAAGATTCTGAATCTGATTCTGACTGGAGCCAGTCACGTAACGCAGGGACCTGGGCAGGAACGGCGTGGCGTGCCAAGGTCTGGAGCACGAGTTTGCTCATTAAAGCGATAGTTCACTCAAAAATACAAATTTTGTCAGCATTTACTCACCCTCAAGTTGGCCTAAACCTGTATAAGTTTCTTTCTTCAGCATGCTGAGCACAAAAGAAGATATTTTGAAGAATGTTGCTGGTCCCCATTATTTGTTTTTTTTAGCTTTTAGTATAAATATGTTAGCTTAAAGGTTATGAATAAACTGGTGTGTTCCAAAACAATGACAAAATCTCGCATTTAGGAGATATAGGCATTCAAAACTTAGTCTCTCACTTCCGCTAAAATGAATCAGGGATTTTTATGACATCACATCTTCTGTCCAATCAAATAATGCTCTCTAAAATCTAAAGCTCCGCCCCCTGTGCTATAAACACCACCGGGCCGAAGCGACCGTTGACACGTCACGGAGCAACATGGGGTGGAGATGTGTGTTCGGTTGCTGAAACGCTCAAGTTTTATTCCGGTCTCCAAGTGTACGTCGGTTAAGAATGAAACGGATAATATTTATGATACGCTGGATTCAATATGTGAATAAATATTATCCATTTCATTCTTAACCAACGTACAGTTGGAAACTGTAATAATACTTGAGCGTTTCAGCAACCGAACACACATCTGCAACGCATGTTGCTCCGAATTGCAGTCTGTGATGTAAACTAAACGCTATTGGCTATTTGAAAAGGGGGAGGGGCTATTCAATATGTCCCGCCTTAACTTCCTGCTTCAGTGGAAATTATAACATCCATAGTATTTTTTTGGTAAAACATTAGTTTAGGGTCTAATTCTCACTATTAACTAGTTGCATAACGTTCTGTATAAGTGTGTATATGGATGTAATCTATATCCGCTATGTTGTCATTATCATGTGACCTAGCGTCAGTTGCGTCGCTCCACTGTCATTCACAAATCCTCTCATGTGGCCTTGTGGGATAGTAAAGTGTTCATCGTATGCACACTTCAGTAGTAGGTCATCCGGGTACTCATGCCTGAGTACTGTGAATTCGGACATACTTCTTTTGTCACATACTGTTTTTTGGCTATAGCAATTGCAGATGCGGTATTACCGTATCAAGCTGATTGGCCTCTGCTGATCCTGCAGCCAATGATATCGCTTGCTCAACATTTAAATAGTCTGGTTCAGTGTTTGCTAAGCTAGTCCTGCAACAGCTATTAGGCCGTGTGTCCACCAAAGCGTTTTTAGCCAGCTGAAACCGCTAGACGCTCTGCTGAAAACGCCTAGCTGTGGGCGCTTGAGAGCGTTTTGGCAGCGCAGCGGTTTTTCCCTTGAGACGTTTCGTTGCTATGATACAGAATATCCGCAGCACAGTTTACTTGTAACTGATTTCGCAGATAATTTGTTTCATACTAAATTTATTTTTCATCCATTTTGTTCAGTTAGCTCTGCTGGTTGATGTCGTTGTACAGAAAGAATGTTGTGACAGTTGGTCGGTGTGGTATTAGCCCCGCACCTCCTGCACTGTGATTGGACGGCTGGGTAAAAAGTGACAGTGATGAGCGCTGCGCTTTACCAGAGAATGTCTAAGGCCGTGTGTCCACCAAAGCGTTTCTCCACGCGCCTGGCGTATGTTTTCAATTGTTTTCAATGGGAGCGCCGCGTTTTTAGAACGCCATGAGCGTAACGAGGCGCTGAACGTTTTTTTCACGCTGAAGCGCCGAGCGCCCGGCGTTTATACTGGTCGCCGAGAGTTGAAAAATGTTCAACTTTGGATAAAACGCAGCGCTCATCACTGTCACTTTTACCCAGCCGTCCAATCACAGTGCAGGAGGGGCGGGGCTAATACCACACCGACCAACTGTCACAACATTCTTTCTGTACAACGACATCAACCAGCAGAGCTAACTGAACAAAATGGATGAAAAATAAATTTAGTATGAAACAAATTATCTGCGAAATCAGTTACAAGTAAACTGTGCTGCGGATATTCTGTATCATAGCAACGAAACGTCTCAACGGAAAAAACGCTGTGTTTCCAAAACGCTCTCATGCGCCCACAGCTAGGCGTTTTCAGCAGAGCGTCTTTGGTGGACACACGGCCTTATTGAAGAGAATTGGCACTGTCTGGTTACTTCCGGTTACTGGACTGGCTGCAGTAACACGTCTCTGTCCATGCGGGGGCGCTCGCAGGCGAGTGCAGAATGAATGGGAGTCTATGGGGTTTCACCCCCAGAAATCCACTTTTCTCAGGATGAAATTTTTTGTCAAGTAATTTGAAAGTTGCATTCAAAAGGGAGGGCTATAATACACTCAGCTGAAAATTGCATTTTTAAGTTCATTTATCTGTTCTAAAAATCCATTCAAAAATGTGATGACGTCACATAATAGCAGTTGTGTACTCGTAGTACATAAGTACTCGTTCATTCGACTTTTGGCCTATAATCTATATTGAACTTGCGGAATCAACAATAAAATCTATGTTGATTCAACGACACAAGCAGGAGAAAGAGATACATTTAGCCGTTTAGCTCCATAGACTCCCATTCATTCTGCACTCGCCCGCGATCACCTCCAGTGGAATTCTAATGGAACTGCAACCAATATGATACACAATGGGGCTAATAGGAAGTGCCAAGGCTCTCCGTTCGACGGGCTCTGGTTTTACCCAAAGTTGAACATTCTTCAACTCTCGGCGACCGGTAAAAAACGCAGAGCGCTCAGCGCTTCAGCGTGAAAAAAGCGCTCAGTGCCTCGTTACGCTCATGGCGTTTTAAAAACATGGCTATCCATACTATCATTTTCATTCTTAACCGACGTACAGTTGGAAACTGGAATAAAACTTGAGCGTTTGAGCAACCGAACACACATCTCCAACCCATGTTGCTCCGTGACGTGTCAACCGTCGCTTCGGCCCGGTGGTGTTTATAGCACAGGGGGCGGAGCTTTAGATTCTAGAGAGCATTTGATTGGACAGAAGATGAAGCTGAAGTCCGCTGTGATGTCATAAAAATCCCTGATTCATTTTAGCGGAAGTGAGAGACTAAGTTTTGAATGCTTATATCTCCTAAATGCAAATTTTGCGCTCCCATTGAAAACAATTGGAAAAATTCGCCAGGAGCGTGAAAAAACATTTTGGTGGACACACGACCTTAGAGTTCCTGAACCCCTCCTTGCCTTTATAATGTCACACTTAACATTATTCTCACAATGAAAATATATTTCTGGTCCTTATCAAAATGCAGCCCAGAATAAGATGAACCCAAAACCGAGTTAATACTAACGTGCAAGTGTTTTAGCAAAGGAAAAAGGGATGAATTTAGATATTGTGCACAGCATGTCCCCAAACAGTGAACATTTTTTGATGTTGCAAAATAATGAGCTGAGAATAGAGTGTGTTTGATGATCCATCAGAGAATAGTCATGGCTATGACTCTTGTTTAAAACGGAATAACAAACATCCCGGGCAATGAGATTGCGGGATCCTGAAATAATGGGCCTTGCATAACGGATGGTGAAAGTGTTGATTTCTGCAGAGCACAGCTGGGATCTCTCCCCAAACCTGTGGAAAATCAATCA